CCTATCAACTAACACACTAATATCATGTCCACCGAGATTCCTAGCCTCATCGCCCATTATCCATTTCAATCTATTGCTTGTTTCTGAATAAAGATATGCTTCTAGAATTTGACTTGGCACTTGATTTTTCATTGCCAAATTAAAGCTGTTTCTAGCTGTTTCATATGTGGGGCATTCAAGCACTCTGTGCTCTAAAGTTTCGGTTCGCATTTAGATTAAATGTATTCATTGAATCAATGAATATATGACAAATACATGTACTCTTTAAATAATTTTTCAGAATTTTTTTAATTCATTCTTACAGGGTGGGCCAAGAATTGTCCACATCTGTTCACCTTTATCATTCATGAACCCCTAAAGGAACACTTAAGGAACACTTTATTGTAAAATTGATTTCTGCATATCCTACCAAACATTTATTGAAATCCATGCATTTTCAAAGAAAAGTTAAATCAAAGAAATGTGAATGTTTTTGGCGCACCCTGTATATCCTTGGAAAACATGACATGTTTTAGAAGCCATGCAAAGAATACGTTGGTGAGGGTCAGGGGGTGAATGTTTCCCAAGTCTTTGAATTTAGTCTCACTCTCTCAACAAGAGAGAGATTCCCCTTCTGCCTATTGGGGTCATTATCTAATATATTTTCATTTGATTGCATCACACAACTGTTTTTATCTCCCCAGACATCCTGCTATTAATCATGTAAGACACTCTCTGATCAGCCACAGGTCTAAAGGTGTGAAGTGACATAAACAACAAGCTTATTAGATCTGCCTCTATAGAGACTGTACATTAGACATACAGCAAAACCTGCCTAATTTGATTAGATATGCATCTATTAGAGACTGTACATTAGACATACAGCAAAACCTGCCTAATTTGATTAGATCTGCCTCTATAGAGACTGTACATTAGACATACAGCAAAACCTGCCTAATTTGATTAGATCTGCCTCTATAGAGACTGTACATTAAACATACAGCAAAACCTGCCTAATTTGATTAGATCTGCCTCTATAGAGACTGTACATTATATATACAGCAAAACCTGCCTAATTTGATTAGATCTGCCTCTATAGAGACTGTACATTAGACATACAGCAAAACCTGCCTAATTTGATTAGATCTGCATGTATTAGAGACTGTACATTAGACATACAGCAAAACCTGCCTAATTTGATTAGATCTGCCTCTATAGAGACTGTACATTATACATACAGCAAAACCTGCCTAATTTGATTAGATCTGCCTCTATAGAGACTGTACATTAGACATACAGCAAAACCTGCCTAATTTGATTAGATCTGCATCTATTAGAGACTTTACATTAGGCATACAGCAAAACCTACCTAATTTGATTAGATCTGCCTCTATAGAGACTGTACATTATACATACAGCAAAACCTGCCTAATTTGATTAGATCTGCCTCTATAGAGACTGTACATTAGACATACAGCAAAACCTGCCTAATTTGATTAGATCTGCCTCTATAGAGACTGTACATTAAGACATACAGCAAAACCTGCCTAATTTGATTAGATATGCATCTATTAGAGACTGTACATTAGGCATACAGCAAAACCTGCCTAATTTGATTAGATCTGCATCTATTAGAGACTGAACATTAGGCATACAGCAAAACCTCCTTAATTTGTGCACTGTAATGTATAATGACCACCCTTACCCGTTTCTAGAATATTCACTGTACTAACGCACAATCATTTTTATACTTATTTGAAGAATATTTGCTGTTCCATCAAAGTCTATGAGATGTATGTAGAACAAAACCCACATTTGCTGATTTAACATGTTTGGAAACATAAACATATTCCCAAAAAAGAACACAAATGATCAATATTTCAAAGATATTGGTTAGCATCTTGGAAACAAATGCTGATTTAAGTCCCACATGTTTTGGTGGAACAAAACATCAACCCAAGATGTATACAAACTAAGACTGATATTTTAAAAATGGGTTGATTATTGAGGAATATCATATTGATTCAAAGTTTTACATCATGTTTTCAACACATATTTAACCTAAGATTGCACATCTTATTCTTAATGATTATTTAATAAATGCATATTATCAAAATGCACAATTTATGCAATCTACAATATGAGTATCCCCTGCTATATAAGACAACAACACTGTACATTAATGTGCAAAATGTATGACACTTCTGTAGAATATAGGACAACAAGCCATTAACAAGCAAAATGTCACCACCTGCCATCATTAACTGCCAAACATCACCCACAAAAAAGTTGGAGACCATACAATCTATCACCACGGTGACATAATAACCATGTGTAAGATCACTGTAAAAAGATAACATCAACATTGTACACATTATTTGCAAGACATTCGCAATATAAGACTACTCCTCAAGATAACGTGACATTCTTCATGATTAAGACTCGTAATTATTACCATCACATAAAGGGATTATGCAGTACAGGCCTATTTGCCAGCACTCCCAGTATTACATAAGTTTGCATCACATCATGCAATAAACGCAATAAATATTATAATTTTAGCTCATACAGATGCTTGTACAAATACCAATTAAAATCAAGCCTACCGAGTAGTGATACTGATAAGTTGTTGCACATTTTATTTACTTTCCTTTACTCTGATTACTAATCAGGACCAACTGGAAATGAGAAATATAGAATTGAAATTCTCAACCTTCAGAACATGTAATTAAGTCCAGGAATACAGAAGTTACTTACTGTAAATACACTTAATTTGGCTACGGTTTTAATTTGACGGATTGGCAAATCTTTTTCAATTTTATGAATTTTCAGATGTATTTTGGAAAATTCCCAGGGAAATTTCAGTTCATGCAATGCACTTCTGGAATTAAACGTCCGGGACTCATTTCCAAAAAAGCTGTCAAAATGTCAATTCTACATCATTTCGAGAGAACTCCAGACAATATCTAGGTAAAAACATGTCATAGTGCAGTGGCGTAGCGTCATATACGCATAAAACGCCATAGCGTACTCTCAACGTTTAGAGAAAAGTGAATTTTTGATATTGAAATGACCCACGTTTAATATTCTGAAGTAATGGCCTAACATTTTATTAATCCATATTATTTTTTTCGTGGTCGGAATTTCGTATTTTAAAACGTCCCAGAACACTTCAAATGCAATCTAATTTTTTCAAATTTTCTTGGGGGAAAGAACCCCCCCCCTCAAAGCTCGTTCGCTTCGCTCACTCGTGGCGTACACTCATAAAATACCCACGCTACGCCACTGTAGTGACACTAATGATTAAACTTCAGTCAAATCCACAAAATTAAATAGCCGCCAATATTTGAAATTGAGCAAATCCGCCAAATTAAGTGTGTCTACAGTACCTTTGGTAAGCAACTTATGTGATAACAATTTTGGTTGAACCATACATTGTACATGTATAGCCATTGGTGCAAAACAGGAGATATTGAGTAAATAAAACCAGATTCATTAACAAAGATGAGTCTCACTAAAATTGCTGAAAATATGTCGCTTGACCATGTTTGAAGCAAACACTAAGTTTTTGACCTTAATGGTATCACGTGACGGTTTAAAAATACATGTACTGGAAAGTATGGTTCAGAAAGTCAAATTTGACAACTTTCACGATCAGTTGGACCCCCACAAGCAGTAACCAGAGAATAATGCACGAGCCATTCCTCAATGAAGTATTATACGTCTAATACAAGGTATTTATTGGTTGTTTTTGTATAATCATTTAAATGTTCAGGCATTTTTATACAAAAACATGTATAATTTGAATTGAGGAATATTTATCCAATTACAACAGCTGTTGCACAATAATTCAAAATTAATTTCTATAATGACAATATCTTTCAGACTTGTTGGGATTTTTATGATGCAATTGGGAAAAACGTTAACAATCAACGAAATTGATTCATACTTTGACAAATGCTGAAAAATGTATCTAAGAAAAAGCCAAATGGTACTTTCCATACAACATAACATGATGAAATTTTCACGAAATACTGATAATATGCAATGTTACAGCCACATTATGATCAGGATTGGTGTAATTGCCCATATTTGGTCATGCTTGACATTAAGTCATGATAATCAATAATTATAACTGACACATAAAATCAGAACTGACACATAAACTTATCACAAATACTTGACAAATCAAATGAGCTGCCTTGCAAGAAAGGGTGTCTTATCATTCATTATCGATGAGAAAAACCGACTGACAAATACATTGAAATTTGAAATTTTCACTAGTACTACATGAAACTTAAGGAGTTGAATACTGATATCTGTAAACAAAAAAAACACATTTTGACAGTGACTTGTAATGCTGAACAATGGCAATATAGTAATTGAATCATTAATGTTATTACACACAACCACGAGAGAAATAATCAGATAACTAAGGCATATAAAAAATTGACGTCACGTTTTAAAATAGGCTAATCAGTCAGACATAACATTATCAAGATATAACAGTATTTCACAATAATAGTCAGCTTATTTTGCGTCTCTAGTCTGTTTATTGTCATAAATGAATCAAAGCTCATTTCTCTCAATTTCACATGGTAAAGCAGTATAATATATAGGAGCTTCAAAATCATTACAGAAATCATTATACAAAAGGTTTTGACATTGTATATGGTCAATTTTAGTCCATTAAATACAAATTGCATGGAATGTGTACATAGAACCAAAATAAGCAGTGAACCATCTATTATGTAAAGTCATAGTTGACAAACAATAATGTAAGTAGTCATGCCATCTTTACAAATGAAATCATGCCTTTTCCCAACAAAGCATTGTCATTGAAAAGTACAAATTGTGCACACCTTTTCTCAACAAAGCATTGTCATTGAAAAGTACAAATTGTGCATACCTTTTCTCAACAAAGCATTGTCATTGAAAAGTACAAATTGTGCATACCCTTTCTCAACAAAGCATTGTCATTGAAAAGTACAAATTGTGCATACCCTTTCTCAACAAAGCATTGTCATTGAAAAGTACAAATTGTGTTGTGCATGATGGTTGCTGCAAATATCTGAGATCAGGATTTTGTAAAATTAATAATAATTCATATATTACATGTATACATTGTGAAATAATGGTAACCCTGTAAATACATTGGCACCACAAAATGATTTTACCTGACTACATGTACATGCATCATAAACCTACATGTAAGCCATATGCAATTATATTTATTTCATTTAATTAGACTCTCTTACAGTTTGGAATTTCTCAGCAATTTCAGCAGCAGTTTTTAACATTCCGACAGATTGCATGTTTGTCAATATAGCGACAGCAACTCCTCTTGGAGGCTCAGTGGAAGACGTACAGCTAGCCCCTTGCCTAGAGGGCAGGACTAATAGAGCACTACTTGCACCCACAGCCCCTCCAGTGTGGGCAGCATAAAACTGGTGATATTTCCCATATCCATATTCGGAGCTCTCCTTCCGGATACCCCAGCCCATCCCATAATTTCCACCCTCTGAGGAGTTGGAAGTATTCACTACTGGTGTCCACATTTTTTTCACAGTTTCAGATTTTAAGTATCCTGGTAGTAATTTATTTCTACTCGGAGTTTGATTGTCTTTCGATTGGTCTACAGTATTTTGTTTTATGACATCATCAACTTGATAGCTGTAGAGAATGGCATTGGCGAATTTGAGCAAATCACTCACATCAGAAACAAGTCCACCACCCGCCCATTTATAGGAGCAGTCGACGTATGGCACATTTGCTAATCTTCCCTTCTTATCTTTGTGGTAGTATCTAAAAAGTGCATGTAAGGCATAAAAGATTAAATCAAATGAACTATGAAAATGCTTATGAAATTAAATCTCCAAGATTAACTCTTTTATAAATCAAAATGCTGTAGTCCACTCAAAGTCATAATTATGATTTTTTTGTTGTTATACTGTGTCGACCCAATGTTATTTTGTATAATTTTTAAATAACTAGCTATAAATAATTTTTATTAGTACTCGACTCATAATATCAAAATTTGTTGAAATCTGTTGTCAAACCTGGCTCTATGGTATATCAAAGGCTCTGCTTCATCAAGGTTGGTGTGGGACATCCCAAGATCATTGAGGACAGTCTTAAGCTGCTCTGTGAATGACTTTTTAACAGCACCTTCCAACACTGCACTGATCAAAGTCCAACCATGTGTTGTATACAGAAACTTGCTCTCTGAAATATTAAACACCACATCAACATAAAGACCTATACATCCCAGTGATGTAAACACACAAATCAAATTATTTCATGTGCAGTTTGCATCCCCCAAATGCAGGGCTATAGAAATCATTCCACTAAAGGATATTCTGGATCTAGGAGCCCTGTGATCGGAGAATGGTATTTTGATTCATTGGTTGATTCTATGTTCAGATTTTGAAAAATTCTTCCATTGATAGCAATGTTAAATTAACCTGTTCAAATGGCTTAATTTTATTGGTCACCCTCATCTGCATCCATAGCAACAATTAAAGAGAGGGTACACATAGAAACAATAATTCATTTTGGCAGATGGGAGACCTCAGTCCTGGCAGTACAAATGAATACTTAAGTATTTTCATTGTATTTTCATGTAAGACTAATATTGCTCATCACTTATAAATCACTATTGTTGGGTTATCAATCTTTACCTGGTTTAACAAGCAGAGGATCATCTTTGAATATTTTCACAGCATCTTCAACTGTGTCATAGTGCTCTTTAATGTAATACTCTTTGTTATCAAACTGACTGCTCACTTTCTTCTTCTGTTCTGCTTTTTCTTCAATTGGTTTAGAGTTCTTCTCATTAGCCTTCTTACTTCTGTTATCATTGGCCTTGTCAGTCTTAAATAAAGTAATACCATTAAATAGCAATAAGGTTTAGAAAGATTCTCATCAATTTTCACTTTTGTATGAGACCATGCTAATTAAAAAACAGGAAACTAACATTCATATATTAGATATTCATTGGGGAAACCACATATTCTGGCAGTTGCCACACACTGATCAGAACACTCAAGCACCATACAGGGGTTTCTTCAGAATTTCTGACAACACAAAACAATATGAAAACAACAAACAAAATTATAATTATAAATCTTCATATACAGGGTGGTCAAAAAAATGGATACCCTGATACCATTTTCCTCATATCTTTGTCATTTTGAAAAATAACTCCCTGATATTTAATACTTCTGTACATCATTCAATTTGCTACCAGCCTACTATATTTCATGACCATCAGATAGTCACAATGTTACAGTACTTTAAAGAACATGCCCAGTGGCCAGGACAATTGCAGACCTCAAAAGTGAGATCATTTGTGTCATTCAGGCCATACCTGCTGAGGAACGCATTCGGGTCATTGACAACTGTGCTGTTTTGCCTACAGCGCGATAATGGCCAAATCTGAAGCATGTTATTCAAAGTGCTGTAAAACAGCAATGTGACTATCAGTCTGATGGTCATGAAATACGGTAGGGTGGTAGGAAATTGAATGATGTACACATGTGTGAAATATCAGGGAGTTAATCCTTTAAGTGACAAAGATATAAGGAAAATGCAGGGTTTCCATTTTTTGACCACCCTGTAATTAATACAGCATGTTCACATGTACAAAATATACGTTCTGCCACTGAATTCAGTCATTCCTTATCTCCCCAACTTTTATTATCTCCCCTTCCCTCAACTATACCAATGTCCTTTTCAATGTTAAAACAAAACTTAATTCTACATAAACTCACATTTGAATCTTTGGAGTTTTTGTTGTCCTCTTTGAGAGTTTTCTCATAGTGCCTTATACCTCCTAGATGTGACACCAACTGTCTGGTTGTCAATGTAACCTGGAAGAATTGTACAATGTCATTTATTTAAGGAATTTTTAAAAAATATTTTGACCAAATAATATTATTTTAATCAAGAATTTGACAAGAGTAATGCTCTTAAGCATTAACAATTTTTTTCACAGAGAGGCTTTGATGATTCAAATGGAATAAAGACACCATTACTTTGGGTGTTACAAGGCAACTAGGCTGACTAATAAAAGATTACAGAAAATTTTGCTATGTTTCAATAATGGTTCTAACCTTTTCACCTTCAAATGTTTTCTCTGGAAAATAGGGAACATATTCTTGAATAGGTTTGTCCAAGTCAAGTTTCCCATCTTCCCAGGCCTTAGCAACGGCTGTCATAGCCATAGGTTTGCTGATGCTAGCGATTCTCATGACAGTGCCAGGATGACACAACACTCTGTTCTCAACATCCGAGAAACCAAAACCTAAAAGATTCATGTACACAATTAAAACACTATGTATATTTAGATCAAAGAACAGGGGTACATATACATGATGTACATTCAGATGACACAGACACGGCAGTCTATTTTATCTTATAAACCTACAACTGTTGCCATGACAAATACATATACCATTACACCCATACCCCAAACTTTGGTAAACAACTGTAGCTTTGCCAACTCAAAAAATAACTAAGTATGACAATTGTCATTTGCTAATGATAATATAAAAAATACTGATAATACATGACCGTATATCTTGCTTAAAACAAATAAATAACAGATGAGCTCATTTGTATGAAGAACTCTTCATTTATCTTGGGTGTACCAAGGGAAAGATCAATACCTGGTGATTTCAGCGGGAAATGGCGTTTCGTTCAGTGGATGAGCTGCGCGCGTACGCATAAATGTGATTATCCAATATATTTAGGGGAGGGCTATTTGAAATAGTTTTTGGTCTCAGGCGCGACCCAGGGCTGTTGTCTTAAGGACATTTAGTTGAAAATGAGCCATTCGGCTGATAATTGGTAAGAGTTTGGGATCTTATAATGTATAACTGTTACTCAGACACATATTTTGACACGATTCTGTTGGAAATAAGCTTTGAACCGAGAGATATTCACGATTGATATGCACATTTTTGATTGTGCCATTGCTTTTCCATTGCACAATCCATGAATTGATAGAAGTAACATTAATAATGCAGATTGTTTACCTTCAATACATGGCAGACACTACATATCGGTCTATTAAATACCAGTCTGTGCCTTAAATAGTTTTATATTTCCATCCACGGCCTGGAGCCTGGGTGTGTTTGTCTCTTATGTGTATGCTTGTGCATGGACTTCTAATCACTAGCAGAATTTAACATGATGCAAACTCGACATTATAACTCATGCTGTAACATTTTGACTTCGCTGGAAAACAATAGGAATTATTTTTCTTGACAATCAATCATGAATCACAATCAAAATTTCAGAATGATCAATCAGGCAATGGTCCAAATCAAGTTATAACATTATATGATATTCAGCAAGAAGTCTGGTAGAAATACAGACTATTTAAACATCAAAGCTGAAAGTTAAAAGCTAATCTGTCAATTTTCTGTCTGCAAAAGAGCGTTTACATTTGACACAATAACAGACTGAGGCTTTGAAATCTAGGATTCCCCAGGAAAATATGACGTCATACTAATTAGCATAAGGATTTCCCTATTGGTCTTGGTCGAGCCTTGTTCGAAAACACAATCCATAAATACCTGCTAAATTCTAAGGAGATAGGAAGTGTATAATGTGTTTATCGATTTTGTTTAAAGATTTAATCAATTATCAAATTGTTTAAGTGGATAAAGTGGCCATAGCGTAATCGACGGATAGAAACTGACCGAATTCCCGATATCCTACCCCGTATTGTTGTAGGCTATGAAGCACAGTGACTTACAGAGGGCGCTATCACAAACAAGTACTGCACGAACCGATAAATTCCCGGGTATTGAAACGCCCTTGGGTGTACGTCCTCTCATACATTTTGAGGTTAATTCTCTACATGTAATCCATTAATTACTGCACCCATCAACCAGTCAAATATTGTTTATCATGTCTGACATATCTGTCATTCACTATAAATGTGTCCCTAAGTTACAGAATCGTGCAAAAACATATCTAATCTGAAACTAATATTTACAAGTGTTTCTATTTATTTCTCCTTTATCATTCTGACTTTAAACATCTACTTACCCTCAGCCCATACTTGCCTGCCATCTATACTAACGGCTACCACCATCCCTGGACAACCACACTCATCCTGCAATATTACCATACAAGGTGATACAAATATAATACTCATCCTGCAATATTACCATACAAGGTGATACAAATATATTACTCATCCTGCAATATTACCATACAAGGTGATACAAATATAATACTCATCCTGCAATATTACCATACAAGGTGATATAAATATAATACTCATCCTGCAATATTACCATACAAGGTGATACAAATATAATACTCATCCTGCAATATTACCATACAAGGTGATACAAATATATTACTCATCCTGCTATATTACCATACAAGGTTGGGTTATATGGGTTATATGATATTGACACTCGGTCGCTGCGCTCCCTCGGTCAATATCATATTACCCTTCGGTCAATATCATATTGTCCCTCGGAATAAAACCCATATTCAATCCCTCCCAGTAAATAACCTATATATACTCATCCTGTAATATTAACAATACAAGTGGATCCATATATAATACTCATCTTGCAATAATGAAACAAAAACATGAGGCCTAATTCATGCAAGCTCCACAAGCCTGCGCAATTCCGCAACTCACAGCGGTACCGCTATTTCCATTTCACAAAGAGACCGCAAAGTCAGCATCACCACAGATATCTTGCAGTACCACGAGAATTACGTCATTATCGTGCAGTACCTCTGTACTTACCGCAAGTCACTCTCTGAAAATACAGTGTAATGAATCCTCTTGAAAAAACACTCATCATTACCTTTCAGTGATGGTAATATGTACATGTGTAAACCTGGTATTGTCCTTTTATCAGATTAAGTTTCCCAATAAAAAAATAAAAAATTGAATGTGCTATAGACATTCAAATATGGATGTAAAAGCAACCTGTTCAGAGTATGTTTTTAAGATTTTTAAGGTTGCGGAATACCGCAACTTTAAGGTTAGTTTGTATGTTCGAAATTTAGCTGCAATCCTCAATAAAGTCACATGTTCACACCAGAATAACCTGACTACGGTAAAGTCAGATACCGTTGTCACAAATGGCGGACATAACCGTCGCTTCAACTGTTTTATCACTTGGTCCTCATGTCATGAGATTTTATCGTCGTTAATTCTGTGCATGCATTAAGCTCTTGTGATAATGTATCATATGAAATCCCATTTTCGATCAAATTGGGTTGTGAATCGCCACAATATCGCCTCTTCGATATCGTCAATGACAACGGAATCTGAATTTGAGTACTTTAGAAAGACAACGTCATAAGGTAATTACATTGTCCGTTGTCCCGAATATCATTTTGATCTGTTCAATTAAAGACTTTATTTCGATGGTAGAACATAATCAACTGTACAATGAGTATTAAGACACTTTGATTGATTGTTGTTCCAAAGGAATTTAGTCTAGGTGCTCTATCAAACATACAGTTCATGAAAATCTAATTGAAGCGACGGTTATGTCTGCCATTTGTGACAACGGTATCTGACTTTATCGTAGTCAGGCTAATCCGGGGTGATGTTATTTTAGGAATTAGGAATCACTCCATCATCGCTATTCATTGTCTATATTTTCAGTTTTGCACAAAAAGTGCACTAATGTACCTAGAAAATACTGGTGAGGACATTTGCTTCGTAAAATGCATAAAAACGAGAAAATTCAGTGACAGAAGGTTAATTACGAACATACACTAAAACCTTATATAATCAGGCCCGTAGCCAGGATTTGCCAAGGGGGGGTTCAGTTTTCAAAAATTTCCAGGGGGGGGTTCACATTTGACAATTTTGGCCCAAATATGGCTAAAATCACTTGAAAAGTGCTCAAAATGGTGAAAAACTGCATGATTTTGAAAGAATTTTTGGCCAGGGGGGGGTTCGCCCGAACCCTGCGAACCCCCCCCCCTGGCTACGGGCCTGTATAATTATCATCATTTTGAATATCAATAATGAGTACTCTCTGGAAGCAATTGGAGAAACGTGAAACGTAAACGTGTCTTTAGAGATCCGCCAGAGATTCTTGACGAACACAAATTACTGGAAAGATATCGTATGCATTAAATTGTTATATATCAAAACGCATATTGATAGAATCTGCAAGAATGAAGCATCCGAAATAAAACGATCGCAAGCACTTCCCTTTAATGCAGGTATATAGTTGTAATTATATTCTCCGAAATGTGAACCATCTCCCTTTAATTTCTAGAGGATGCTAGATCCATTTTCCCTTTGCCCGGCTCTACTATACTAATGCAAGGCGCTACAAAATGTTGATGTAAAAACCGGTAAAACCCCGAGGTAAAACCATGACTTAGAAGTAAAAATTCAGGTAATATGGGCATTGTTGATAAAAAATGTGACTCGGAGGTCATGATTTACAAGCGACTCTAGGCTATAGATAAAATGGGTCAGACTGACATTCCTGCCCTAATAAATGACACGGTCGTCATGGACACAGATTGCGGACACGGAGATAACATGCGAACACCTAATGGATTTGCGGTTAGCTTCATGAATACCACCCAACGCAATAAAATGCGGACACGCAATGGGTCCGCAAATACACTACGGACACGCAAGCTTGCGGATCTTTCATGAATTAGGCCTCTGGATCCATGAATTCATACAATCCAAGAATTAATTCGGATAAATTTCATATTTATGGATTATTGATACGGATTAATACAGGGTGTCCAAAAAACAGGACCGTAAGAAAGTTGAATAACTCGGTCAAATTTGCATATTTTGCCTTCAAATTTCAGAATTATTTAGTTCCTTCAATGTAAATTCATTTGTGAAAGTTTGATAATAATCTACCAATTGAGTCAATAACTACAGCTCCTTACAAAACATGCCCCAAATGTGCACCTCTCCTCAATTCAATCCGGCGAACAAAGTTGTTGATGATCCTCCTCCACACATGTCTTTCTGAATGGTAAAGTTTGTTCCAAGAACAATTGCTACTGGGGCTTACATCCTCCTGATGAAGTGTTACAGCACCCATTGCATTCTGAACAATGCACTGCCTGGGTGTCAATGAGGAAACATGGAATCATCAGTCCCTTTTGGTTCAAAGGTGGCTGGGGACATGTTATCACCATGAACAAGGACCAGTAAGTTGTTCACTAAGTTTTGGAGGTCACTTAAGCACAACCATATAGGCAGCTCATTCGCCAGATCTAAATCCCCCGAAGTTTTATCTTTGGAGGATTTCTCAAAGCCAATGTGTATACTGACAGGCTCCTAACAATCTAAAGAGGGCAATAACTTCCCCAATATTTGCCATCCACATTAATGTGTATAGGTCAGGGTCATTAACAACTTTGTTGGCAGGATTCGTTTGTGCATAGGGAGGAGAAATGTCTACTTTGAGCATGTTTTGTAAAGTACTGTAGTTTTTTACACAATAACAAGATTATCATCAAACTTTCAGAACAAAATTCACATCGAATGAACTAAATAATTCTAAAATTTCAAGGAAAAATATGCAAAAATTGACCGAGTTATTCAACTTTCTTACGGTCCTGTTTTTTGGACACCCTGTATTTGTTGAATTCGAACGATCCTATGATTTTGGGGGAATCCCTAGAATTTATCCAAATTAAGTTGGAATTTGGATCGATAAACTTTATCCGAAAATCAATCCACCTCCGTGGTAGATTGAGATTTGGATAAAATTTGTCCTAAAGATTGTGCGAATTCACCAATATTTGGATAAATTTCAAGATTAATCCCACAATGCATCATAACCATGACGAAATTTATCTGGATCGGATAACAGATGGTATGAATTCACTGCCCCTGAAGTTAGGGTTAAGTGAGTGAGACAAAGGACAAACTGAACATGTGTTCTTCTCAGCCATCTTGGAAGATTTATAAATATGAAGAGAAGTTGCTTAAAATATGAATATTTGATGAATGTTACAATTAAAGAGGCAATGTCTCCTTGGCACACAATAAGAGTACCCCCCCCCCTCTTGAAAACAGTTTCATTAATATACTTACCAACCTTCTGATACCAACTCTTATGTTTACATTGTCAATTGATTATAAGATATGTAAGAGGTAAAAATACAATAACAACATATGTGTCTATATAAGAGAGAATATGCAGGCCAATACTAGTCTATATCCAATAGACTGAATTTCCCGAAAAATTCAGTCTATTGATCATCATGTCCCTCCTGTGGGAAAAAACAGGAAATTTCCTGCACACAATTATCAATTTTAGGAAACTTTACTTCCCAAAAATAAGCATTATAACAATTCAATTAAGTAGTAAGGTACAATTAAATGCTATAAAAAGTAACACAGCACATTGTCAAATGGAAACCAGAACAACGGCAACGCCAAAGCGTAGCGAATCCCATCGAACAGAAATGGCTGGCATTTTTACAAACGAAGCGCAAATATCATAAAACAACACACCAGAAAGGCCACCATTTTCAAAATGGTTCCTCACTAGCCAAGTTGTCATCAGAAGAAATAATATGCTTTTAAGTAGCAACCTCTAAAATTTTTGAAAAATCGCACACATAAAAAAATAACACACATAAAAATGGTGGCCATTTTTCAAAATGGCCGACAACTCCCTAAAGTTTTATTAGACAATGTGCCATGCTTAAAGTATTCACATATCAAATATGAACAAAATCGCTCCACTACTTTTCGAGTTATAGTAAAATACGTTAAAATGGCGGCCATTTTGAAAAATGGCCGCCTTCTACCAAAAGTGAATAATTTTCAATCCCAAGTTTTAACATATATGGGCTATTGTCTGAATATTTTCATTCCAAATTTCAAAAAAATTTCAGACTAGAGGATATAGTCTAAGGCCAATACCAAGGATTTCTCAAGAGGGGATGACTTTTGTGTATGGAGGGATTGTGCCACTGACATGCAAAAACAAAGTGTTGATGGTGCAGAGTAGTGCAAGTTAGCATCATTAAATGCAAATCTCTAAGAAAATTCCTTCTGAAAAGGGGGGGGGGGGGCAATCACTCCCAACGTCCGTTTGGATGGGTTTGATATGGTATTATATCTGTGTGCTTTCAATAATGCTCATGACCTACCTTTTTTCTCTGTATTAAATCCCTAGACTCATTTATAGCGCAAGTTAGTGTGGGACTACTTTTATTTGAAGGTGTATCGTCTTCTTTCGATGACTCAGCCAGAACAGTTTTAACATCACAGGCCAATTCGGACTGTTTTAGTTTGTTGGCTAAACATAAAGTGGCACTACCAGCCACTAGTGTAGCAATAATATATTTCAGTGATTCTGGATTTTCCCTTTGTGTTCTATTTGATGTTGTGTAAAGTCGTTTAAATAGTGATCTTGTAAAGGTTTGAACTCTTCTCATGGTGACTAGATATCTTTTATCATCAGTCTACAAGTGTATGTATGTTGCTATTATATTTCAAGATGACATCCGCCTCGGGTATTCTTTTATCTGAAAATAAATCAAACAGTCCAGTTTGTGTGTATCATGAATTTACATCAGTTACATGTATCAGGTTTATTTTCTCCTACCATAATAAAACACCTATACAGCGTTCTTAATCTCTGACGGGTGTCATCTCATCATACGATACAAAAACCACCCACATGTACTTGCTGTACTGACATGAAAACAAAATTGCAAAGATAAAACTTAAAAGTTAAAATTTAACATAAGTTGAGCAGCAGTATCCTTGAGCTGAGTATAATCATTTACATGAAATTACCATCCTACTTGAGTATTTGTGAACATATCTCTAATCTACAGTAAGAAACATGTGAACATGTGATTCAACTGCTTACATAAATGGAATTATGTAAATGACAAGTGAAAGTGTTAAAACATGTGACAGTATTTGACACTGAACTTGTAAAAAGGAACATCAGATACATGTAATGTAAAACAGAATTATGGTCAGAATATTCATGCAAGGGAATTTGCATATTATTGCCATTTTATAGATAGCTTTAACAAACACAAGCCACCACCAATTAGATACAAGAACATTATTATCTCTTTGACCTTTTTGGCATTGAATAAATGGTATACAGTTAAATTGACTTGAAACTTGATCATCTATTTGCAAACAAAAGTCTTCTGACAGTTGAAGTGGCGTATAAGAAAAAATGTATTGTGTATGTATATAGTTATTGCCCTTTATATAAAGGAGATACATGTATAGACTAGAGGTGTCAAGTATTAACTGGTTAACCGGTTAACCGCCGATAATGCCTTGACCGGTCTGTGTTTTTATGGGCGGTTAGTTGACCGTGTATACTTCTGTTATTTCCCGCGCTTATTTTGCATGCTAATCCGTTTGGTTTTATGGTGTCAGTTTCACGTAAGCTACTCATACATGTCATAAGTCCTATAACTATTTACAAACATCCAATCAGCAACTTTAATCCCTGCCACATTGCTTTCCCGCGCTTACTTTGCATTTTAATCTGTTTGTTTTTCAAGCGTCAGTTTCATGTGAGCTACTCATACATGTGATAGGTCCGATAATTCCTTACAAACATCAGCAACTTTAATTCCTGCCATATTGCTTTCCCGCGCTTGCTTACATAGAATAGAGTAAAGCTTGACGAATAAACGCCGATATATCATTTTTCCAATTTTTTTCAACTTTCAAGATCGAAGATGAAGATTTCATTTGAAATTATCAGTTCAAATTTCCCGCCGGTTAACCGACTTTAACCGATAAAAAACCCCGGTTAACCGGTTAATGCTCAAGCGGTTAATTGACACCACTAGTATAGACTAGTATACATATTATGTATTGATTTCATAGAAATAATGTGTACATCTTAGCTGCTTTAATTATCTTACAATTATCTTCTTAATATGTCATCATTAAAACAAAACTTTGCATTAAGTACATTGTGAAGAGATTAACAATTTAATCTATGTGATTCTGCCAAACAAAGTTGAATTGTGCATTGACCACAATTTTAGGATATTTTGACATTTGAGAAGTTAAGATACAGCTCGAAAATAACATTTTGGGAAAAAATTGCTATACCTGCACATGTTATTTTCTGGTACAAAATTAAGTTTGAAGGCACGTGTGTATTTCCTCGCTTTTTTCAGGAAAGTATCATTACATTGTCTACTTTTAGTAAACCTGGAAACAGGTACAGGTAGCTCTTGTGTTTTTGGAAAAATAGAAAGCGTGAAATATCAGAATTTACTGGAGTTCCCATTGACTTCTTCCAGATTTACTGTACCTTAAAGAGAACGAGTCGTCCAGATTTCTATTCTGGACAGTCAGTAATGTCCCAATATAATTGCTCATAAAACATCATATATACATGTACCTTAGATATATCTTGAGACCAAATCATAAGCACGATATCAACAATATATTGAGGACAGGACAACCAAAAGAACAACCAACTGTCAGAATTGAACGCAATAAGTCGAAAACAGAATACAATGTTTTTTTGGGGATTTATCTATATTGTGACCCCATAGAAGTAATAAATATGGCTTCTCTAAGCCAAAATAATCTGAAGGAAAAAGCCAATCAGACTGGAACAAATTTGAGCTTGCTTTTTAAATTTGAATTTGAATTTCTATTGATGTAAGTGGAAATTCATGGCTAGGAACAATCATCGAATTGATACTGTTAACGAATTAATTCAAGTCTCAGAATTTATAAATTGATAAACAAACTTGTTTTACATCAAATAACACGATATAACACGATATAATAACACAGGGTTTTACTCTAATTGTGTTTCTAGAAGACCCGATCTCTTTAAAAAGAGCATACAAATAAACAAACAAACTTCAAGTTAACTTAACATTGGTAAGGGTACAACACACAAGTACTGCTTGACCCCAGATATTTTGATCACCTGACAGTTTCAACAAGCTAGGTCAAAGTCTACTAGAGTAATCAGAATATATAGAGGTAAATTCGATGAGTATGATTAGAAATCTGTTGAAAAGGATGCCTGCAACATCTCTAAAGCGACCGGTCACCCATTGGCAGGGAAAGGACTTCAGTCCAAAAACAAAATCAGTCAATCACATAATTCACAAAAATGTTCAAAATGTCAACAAAAATTTGAACGGAACAATTCTTCCATATATGACAAAGGGAAAGACAATCAAAGGCTTTCAGAGAGGGAGCAAAAGCCTAGGGACACCTACAGGTAAGAATGTACGTTTATGATGCAAGACGTACAGACATATTAGGGAAAACTACTTGAGATTTACCTTTTTATACCCGGAAGTAACATGTGTCAGTGTAGTACGTCACCAATTTTTGTGGTACTTTTTTAATGTTTTTTTGTCAAAGTTTCTTTTGCATCTACCACTTGTTAACTACACATTGGCTCGTACAGATTATTCTTATTATATTGTTTATCGCGTGATACATATGAGGAAGAATATAGATCTTAAAATGAATAAAATCAATTTGAGAATTCATAAATGACGTCATCGATTTTGTCGTGTGACCTTGAAATGTAGGAACATTACAGAAGAAGGTAGAAAGCAACTTACTTTTTCACCCATTGGAATACATGTAAAATTGGCAAAGTTCAAATCATAATTTCTCAAATCCCAGCCCATCGAATCCTCACATCCATTCAGATCATGTAGTCCTATTCAAAAACTTCCCGTTCGGTTATATGGTGAAAAAAATATCCCACGAACGAAAAAAGATTTTGCTACATTTATAAGCGAGCATTGATTTCTGGGCCTGTAAAAAGCACGTAGGACCTGATTACCCCATTGATTTACTGAGACCGCCAAAAATTTAATTCAATTTTTTGGTTCAAAATAATAATCTGTCAGCGGTCCCTGACACTCCTACTAGCTATCACCAAACATTAATTGCCAATACATGTACACATATACGTGCCATACATCTACAAAGTAGCGAACTAGTGTATTAAGTACTACTTTTCCTATACGATGAGCAAAACAAATCTCAAGTAGGTTATATTGACCCTATTAGTGTCATGGTTGACTGAATATGCATTTTATTCAATATGAATTTTAAAGTTCGGGGTTTTATGAAGTGATATGTACATTTTTGCTCAAATCCCCTCAGCACTTTTGATTCTATAGGGTTCTCTTGACCCCTGGGGTCATTATATTTTGTGACAATTTATTCCAGACTAAATGTAGTTATTTTGTCATTAAAATATCTTATTAGAGAAACGTTCAGGAAAAGTTGCGCTATCCACAAGACTTCTTGACACTGCACTGATAAATGTAGCAAAATAGTCAAAATAATTCAGCCTTGAGCATGACATTTTTGAATTTTTGGACAAATTTTGGGCTATTTTGGGGGATTTTTGCCCATAACGATACTAATCTACTTAAAACAGCTGTTTAAAGTTGTACAAATTGCTTAAGTGATTTATATTCTCTCATAAGTAGGACTATTTGCTACTTTACTAAACTGAACATCATTGATTTTTCGTTTTTCATGAACTTCTGATGGCTAGTTCAAGTAGCATTGTCTTTTGTGCAGGTTTACTGAATACGTCCCTTTAAAATTGGGTCTTTCGTGGGTTTAAAGGGTCAAAATGTTGGAACTTTGCACACTGTGGAACGTTTGGGGTGTGTTTCCTTTAATTTGGCAAGAACTGCATCAAATTACTTGATAAGAGAGCAGAAATGTAGCAATTTAGGCTGAAAAGTACTGTTTTCAATGAAAAAACGAAAATTGCTGACTCAGCAAAATTTAGATCGTCGTCTCCAGAATTTTAGGGGTTAATTTGCAAAACTTTAAATGGTCCCATAGAAACATATGCGAAATATGGCTAAATTCGACATATTTCTCGAAATTCACTGATAAATGTGGTTGATATTAGGTAGAAAGCAACTTACTTTTTCACCCATTGGAATACATGTAAAATTGGCAAAGTTCAAATCATAATTTCTCAAATCCCAGCCCATCGAATCCTCACATCCATTCAGATCATGTAGTCCTATTCAAAAACTTCCCGTTCGGTTATATGGTGAAAAAAATATCCCACGAACGAAAAAAGATTTTGCTACATTTATAAGCGAGCATTGATTTCTGGGCCTGTAAAAAGCACGTAGGACCTGATTACCCCATTGATTTACTGAGACCGCCAAAAATTTAATTCAATTTTTTGGTTCAAAATAATAATCTGTCAGCGGTCCCTGACACTCCTACTAGCTATCACCAAACATTAATTGCCAATACATGTACACATATACGTGCCATACATCTACAAAGTAGCGAACTAGTGTATTAAGTACTACTTTTCCTATACGATGAGCAAAACAAATCTCAAGTAGGTTATATTGACCCTATTAGTGTCATGGTTGACTGAATATGCATTTTATTCAATATGAATTTTAAAGTTCGGGGTTTTATGAAGTGATATGTACATTTTTGCTCAAATCCCCTCAGCACTTTTGATTCTATAGGGTTCTCTTGACCCCTGGGGTCATTATATTTTGTGACAATTTATTCCAGACTAAATGTAGTTATTTTGTCATTAAAATATCTTATTAGAGAAACGTTCAGGAAAAGTTGCGCTATCCACAAGACTTCTTGACACTGCACTGATAAATGTAGCAAAATAGTCAAAATAATTCAGCCTTGAGCATGACATTTTTGAATTTTTGGACAAATTTTGGGCTATTTTGGGGGATTTTTGCCCATAACGATACTAATCTACTTAAAACAGCTGTTTAAAGTTGTACAAATTGCTTAAGTGATTTATATTCTCTCATAAGTAGGACTATTTGCTACTTTACTAAACTGAACATCATTGATTTTTCGTTTTTCATGAACTTCTGATGGCTAGTTCAAGTAGCATTGTCTTTTGTGCAGGTTTACTGAATACGTCCCTTTAAAATTGGGTCTTTCGTGGGTTTAAAGGGTCAAAATGTTGGAACTTTGCACACTGTGGAACGTTTGGGGTGTGTTTCCTTTAATTTGGCAAGAACTGCATCAAATTACTTGATAAGAGAGCAGAAATGTAGCAATTTAGGCTGAAAAGTACTGTTTTCAATGAAAAAAACGAAAATTGCTGACTCAGCAAAATTTAGATCGTCGTCTCCAGAATTTTAGGGGTTAATTTGCAAAACTTTAAATGGTCCCATAGAAACATATGCGAAATATGGCTAAATTCGACATATTTCTCGAAATTCACTGATAAATGTGGTTGATATTAGGTAGAAAGCAACTTACTTTTTCACCCATTGGAATACATGTAAAATTGGCAAAGTTCAAATCATAATTTCTCAAATCCCAGCCCATCGAATCCTCACATCCATTCAGATCATGTAGTCCTATTCAAAAACTTCCCGTTCGGTTATATGGTGAAAAAAATATCCCACGAACGAAAAAAGATTTTGCTACATTTATAAGCGAGCATTGATTTCTGGGCCTGTAAAAAGCACGTAGGACCTGATTACCCCATTGATTTACTGAGACCGCCAAAAATTTAATTCAATTTTTTGGTTCAAAATAATAATCTGTCAGCGGTCCCTGACACTCCTACTAGCTATCACCAAACATTAATTGCCAATACATGTACACATATACGTGCCATACATCTACAAAGTAGCGAACTAGTGTATTAAGTACTACTTTTCCTATACGATGAGCAAAACAAATCTCAAGTAGGTTATATTGACCCTATTAGTGTCATGGTTGACTGAATATGCATTTTATTCAATATGAATTTTAAAGTTCGGGGTTTTATGAAGTGATATGTACATTTTTGCTCAAATCCCCTCAGCACTTTTGATTCTATAGGGTTCTCTTGACCCCTGGGGTCATTATATTTTGTGACAATTTATTCCAGACTAAATGTAGTTATTTTGTCATTAAAATATCTTATTAGAGAAACGTTCAGGAAAAGTTGCGCTATCCACAAGACTTCTTGACACTGCACTGATAAATGTAGCAAAATAGTCAAAATAATTCAGCCTTGAGCATGACATTTTTGAATTTTTGGACAAATTTTGGGCTATTTTGGGGGATTTTTGCCCATAACGATACTAATCTACTTAAAACAGCTGTTTAAAGTTGTACAAATTGCTTAAGTGATTTATATTCTCTCATAAGTAGGACTATTTGCTACTTTACTAAACTGAACATCATTGATTTTTCGTTTTTCATGAACTTCTGATGGCTAGTTCAAGTAGCATTGTCTTTTGTGCAGGTTTACTGAATACGTCCCTTTAAAATTGGGTCTTTCGTGGGTTTAAAGGGTCAAAATGTTGGAACTTTGCACACTGTGGAACGTTTGGGGTGTGTTTCCTTTAATTTGGCAAGAACTGCATCAAATTACTTGATAAGAGAGCAGAAATGTAGCAATTTAGGCTGAAAAGTACTGTTTTCAATGAAAAAAACGAAAATTGCTGACTCAGCAAAATTTAGATCGTCGTCTCCAGAATTTTAGGGGTTAATTTGCAAAACTTTAAATGGTCCCATAGAAACATATGCGAAATATGGCTAAATTCGACATATTTCTCGAAATTCACTGATAAATGTGGTTGATATTAGGTAGAAAGCAACTTACTTTTTCACCCATTGGAATACATGTAAAATTGGCAAAGTTCAAATCATAATTTCTCAAATCCCAGCCCATCGAATCCTCACATCCATTCAGATCATGTAGTCCTATTCAAAAACTTCCCGTTCGGTTATATGGTGAAAAAAATATCCCACGAACGAAAAAAGATTTTGCTACATTTATAAGCGAGCATTGATTTCTGGGCCTGTAAAAAGCACGTAGGACCTGATTACCCCATTGATTTACTGAGACCGCCAAAAATTTAATTCAATTTTTTGGTTCAAAATAATAATCTGTCAGCGGTCCCTGACACTCCTACTAGCTATCACCAAACATTAATTGCCAATACATGTACACATATACGTGCCATACATCTACAAAGTAGCGAACTAGTGTATTAAGTACTACTTTTCCTATACGATGAGCAAAACAAATCTCAAGTAGGTTATATTGACCCTATTAGTGTCATGGTTGACTGAATATGCATTTTATTCAATATGAATTTTAAAGTTCGGGGTTTTATGAAGTGATATGTACATTTTTGCTCAAATCCCCTCAGCACTTTTGATTCTATAGGGTTCTCTTGACCCCTGGGGTCATTATATTTTGTGACAATTTATTCCAGACTAAATGTAGTTATTTTGTCATTAAAATATCTTATTAGAGAAACGTTCAGGAAAAGTTGCGCTATCCACAAGACTTCTTGACACTGCACTGATAAATGTAGCAAAATAGTCAAAATAATTCAGCCTTGAGCATGACATTTTTGAATTTTTGGACAAATTTTGGGCTATTTTGGGGGATTTTTGCCCATAACGATACTAATCTACTTAAAACAGCTGTTTAAAGTTGTACAAATTGCTTAAGTGATTTATATTCTCTCATAAGTAGGACTATTTGCTACTTTACTAAACTGAACATCATTGATTTTTCGTTTTTCATGAACTTCTGATGGCTAGTTCAAGTAGCATTGT